GTTACAATCTACCTGTTAATACGTACGTGCTGTACCACGGGACTATACGACTACACAGTGTGTCCCAAAAATAACCGAACTTTATATTTAAATCATACAACATGCAGTGCCATCTATTGCAAATTTGCAGCATTAAAAAGATACATTCATCCTCTTTCAAACGCAGCAAAATTCATTTAAATCAGATGACAGATGTCAAAGTTACAGCCATTTCAATAAAAGAAAAAGTGTGCTAATGTTACAAAACAAAAATGGAACAAAGAGCAAATATAAAATTTTGTCTTAAACTTGAAAAAAAATTCGCTGAGACATACGAAATGATGAAAAAAGTTTATGGTGATGATTGTATGAGTCGTACTCAAGTTTATACGTGGTTTACACGATTTAAAAATGGTCGTGAGGATTTAAATGACGACCTAAGGCCAGGTCGTCCAGAAGCTAGTAATCGTGCTGAATTATTGGAAAAAGTCCGTGAAATCATTGGTATCGATGCAAATTTTACTACGAGAATGTTGGCTGAGGAATTAAATACGAGTAAAAACACTATTTTGAGAATTTTAACTGAAGATTTGGGTAAAAGAAAGGTCTGTGCGCGTTTTGTTCCACATGAATTAAATGAGGACCAAAAAATCGCTCGTGTGGAGCATTGCAAAGACATTGTTAAAACTGCTGAAAACGATCCAGACTTTCTTGATTCGATCATAACTGGTGATGAGTGACCCTGAAACTAAGCGTCAATCTGCTGAATGGAAGTCCAAAGGCGAGCTAAAACCAAAAAAATTGCGTTTTCAGAAGTCTCGAATCAAGACAATGTTGATTACTTTTTATGATTCGAAGGGTATTGTCCACAAGGAATTTGTTCCAGAAGGTCGAACTGTTAATGGAGAATACTATTTGGGCGTTTTACATCGTTTGTGGAAAAGAATTGGTCGTGTTAGACCTGAATATCCAGCAGGAAAACAGCTGTTTTTACTACACGATAATGCACCACCTCACAAGACCAAAAGAGTTAACGAATTTTTGATGAAAAAACGGATTTCTCTCATCAACCACCCTCCGTATTCGCCTGATTTATCACCATGTGACTATTTCCTATTTCCAAAATTGAAAACCAAGATGAAAGGAGCATTTTATGATGATATCCCAGCCATTCAAGCAGCTGTAACCGAGGTGCTGAAGAACATTCCTGTAAATGACATAAAAAAATCTATGCATGCGCTGGTTGATCGTTCCAAACGTTGTATTGAGTCTAATGGAACCTATTTTGAATAAATAATAACTTTCAAAGATAACATAATGTGTATTTTATGCTATATCCAAAAAGTTCGGTTATTTTTGGGACACACTGTGTACAATCAGTGACACATTTCTCAATAATTAATTAGGAACTAAAATGACTTATTACTACAATAAATTCTATTATAAAATCACAAAAATATATGTAAATAAACATTCTTCTCTGACACAGTTGAAAATTAAAAATCACACACAGTCTTGTTTTCCGAGAATTCTGATGAATTCTTTGATCAAAGTGGGTACCCCAGTATCCGGGTCTGACAATGAAATAGTCCGATAATATTGCAATTATAGATACATTTTGGGGGCTAATTTTGGAGGGGGTAGTCTTAAAACATACTCAAGAAAAGACGGAAAATCTTTGAACCTCTACATACCTTCAAGTTTGTACGGAACCTTGCGAGTTCAACTCGTTTCTTTTAACGTAAGGGGCCAGTTATTGTGCGACGGAACACCCATGTCGCTGGATCTGGTGAAAACGAATGCCGATGACATTTACAATTACATCAACAGGTGACTGAATATTGAACACGACTACTTTCATCGAAAGCGTGTAATTTTCACGAATGTATATA